GGGGGGGGGGGGGGGGGAATTGACATAGTACATATATAAGTCATAACTACTTTAGGTTATACTAGTTGATAACTTGGTAATAAATTTATTAGCATAAATAGTACGGATAAAAATTTATTCACGCCCAGTATTATATCAAATTAATAAATGTAAGATATGTATTTTTCATAAATAATTTATCAGTTAACACTAGTTAAATTATATAATTTCACTTTGACTTTTAGTCTGTTAAGGTTGAATTATTTAATTTAATTTTGTTGTAAGCATCAAATTCTAGTAAGTATTTACTTATGAAGTACTTCTGATTTAATCTCAATTAGCATACTAATCCATTCGAACTGATTGAGTACTGTTAACAAGATAACATTTTATCAGAATCAAATTCACATGTAATAATAGAGGCCGTCCGAGATGCCATTTGTTTCTAGAGGAGGAATATAAGACGTTAAAAAAGTAACTAAATCCTAATAACTTATTTGTATTACTAGAGTATATTAAATAATACTCCTATATTTCTTTATTGCTCTGAGGAAATTTGTAGACATTGTACCTTATAGTCTCTATGGAAATAATTGATTCTCTAAGCATCTAGTGCTATCGAAAGAATTAATTAGACATACCGCCCATATTAGCAATAAACTTAAAAGAGCCACGCTTTTTTAAAGGAGTATATGAATAATAATGATCAAATATTCAGGCCCACCAGCTCTCGGTTGTCGCCATTTTTGCTAAAGAAATATAATTAAGAAGTTGCGGGACGAAACTAGAGGCTATTCTAAGAAGCTAAAATCTAAAATCAAAGAAGCCAAAAAATAAAGAGGAACTTTTAGAAACCGCTATGGTTCAGTGGCTATTAATTTCCTATAGCTATCATATACATAATTACTCCTATAGCTACTATTCAGTTGTTACAGTAGTGTATTCGTTGTATTCGCGCTGCTGTATTCATGAATACAGCAGTAAAAGCGCCTAAAAATCGGGGTAGTCCAGCTGTACGCGCATGTATTCGTATCATGTATTCATGAATACAGCAGCAAAAAGCGCCTAAAATCATGGCAGTCCAGTTGTACGAGCATGTATTCATATGTATTTGCGCTCCTGTATTCATGAATACAACAGCAAAAAGTGCCTAAAATCAGGGTAGTACAGCTGTAAGCACGTGTATTCACATGTATTAGCACCATGTATTCATGAATACAGTAACGACAATCACCTTAAAGATAGGTATGTCCAGCTGTCTAATAACGGAATAATATCCTTAGCGTGATACACTCCTAATATAACTCAACCAAATCAATTCTAACATGCCTCATTATCAACCCAGTTAATTAGAATGATTTTTCAGTTGTATATAACTTTTGTATTTAGTGTGTTTCAATATTTTTTTACAGTTGTATTCATAAGATTCAATATATGTATTTACTGTATTCGCTATTTTGTATACAGTGTATTCACATGTATTTGTATTAACAACATTTTAGTTATTCATAATACATGTTATTACTGTATTCAGTATATTTCATTGGTTGTATTCATTGTATTTTTATTTGTATTCAGTGTATTTTACTGTATTTCACGATATTTTAAAATTAAATATATTCATTATTTATATTCTATTCTATTTTAATGTTTGTATTCAGTGTATTTTAATGATTATATCCTGTATTCAGCTGATTAAAAAAATACAGACCTTCGAAATACATAAACACAGGAAAAAAATGTATTTATACAAAAATACAATGTGTTTGAGTGAAAATTGTACAGAATACAATGTATTCGAATAATTGTGTGTGACTAAATAGCAAAGAAGAGAAGAAAGTTCATCGGAGATGGCGTTTCCTGGCCAAGACTCATTGTACCGCTTTACTACCTCTTCCATTACAATTTACAACGCTTCCAATTCGACCGCTTCTTCCTCTTTTCTCTCTTACTTACCGCGCTAAGAATCCCTCTTTCTCTTCAATCTCTCTGTCGCACAAGATATCTCCGCTTCCTTTTTTTAATTATAGGTTTACTTTCATGTTTCTAATTTTGAGATTTTGAGACTTTCTTTCATGATTTGTTTCTTTTTCGTGTATCTATGATTCGGCTTATTTTGCTCGAAGAGAGATAGAAGAAAGAAAGAGAGAACGAAGAAAAATTCTGAGAGAGAATCGTGTGTTAATTGAAAGAAAAAGAGAGGAAAAACATAAATAGCATATTTCATGCTCAATGGTCGTATATACCATAAATACTTATTTCGCTATAAGATATA